TCGCCGTGGGGCGGGGGCGCGGGCGGGGGGGCGAGTGCGCCCGCGAGGTCCAACGCCAAAGAGGAGGTGAGGAGGGAGGCCACCATTCGGCAGGCCAAATATAATCAGCCACTCTGGGTACTTCGGGGGCAGCGGGGGCCGGAGCCCGGGCCACAGAAGGAGGACCTGTAGGGTTTGACGGGCGATATCGTTCACGTCACGGGCGACGTCCTCGCTCAGATGCGTGTGTTTTCGTCTTTCGACGTCAAGAGCTTCCGGCCCGTGGGGGGTTTGCCCGCACGTCGTCTATTGCAGACAACTTCGACCTAATGTGTGAGGCGGTGATGCGGCTGTTGAAGTTCGGTCTAGATTCGTCCACGACCGCGGGTGTGCAATCGTTGCGGCGGTTGCAACCCATAGCCACAGCCATGGCGGACGCGCGCTCCAGTTTCGGACTATCTCGTGCGGAATAGTGATGTGTTTCTGCACGAGTACCAGCGGGCGGCGCTGCCAAGGTTGCCGAACGAGGACTTCAAATTGTGGACAACGGCGATCATCACCTGGATGTACCCCTTCACGAAGATGCATCATCCGCCGGATGCGTTCGACGGCCACACCTTGCCGCCGGTGCCCGAGTTCCCCAACGTCAACAACTTCTGTGAACGAGGGGTGAATCTATTCCGGCTGGTCCTGAATGACGGAGGATCCCTCCCCGGAACAGGAGAGTCGCGGGGCGGGAGCGGCAAGCGTAAGGCGGGCCAACTGGATCGGGGTGATTCATCGTCACGGAGGCGCGTCTCAAGGGAGTGCTTCCAGTTCCGCGACTCTGGCACGTGCTCTTTCGGCGACAAATGCAGGTTTGAACACGTCAAGCGCCGAGATTCGTCAAGCACCNTGGCGACGGTGGTGGCTCGTCGTCGGCCTTGGTGGTGCGGGGTGGCAGCAAATAGGGGTGCGGGCTCCGCCGGGTGGCGGGGCCAACTCCTGTGTCGGTTCCAGCTGAGAGGCCGCAACAGCAGCCAGGTCATAGGGAGATGGCGTCCCGGGCCTTGGCTGGCGTGGGGATCCGAGGCGAGCGCTGTGAGGGCCTGCCCGGAGTGGCTTCCGACTTGGAATCAGGTACGAGGCAAAGTAATGAAAAAAGTTTTCGCCGTGTGAGGTTGAAGAGTGGCGAGTGGCTGTGTCTGCGCTGGCTGAGTGTAAAGCTGCAGAACGGTACGTCCATCTTAACCATGTGGCGCATGTGGGTTCAAACTTGCTTCGACGGTGTGGGGGACGCGTGGAAAGGTTCGTCGCCGCTGTTGGCCAGAAGTTCTTTCTGCCCCATGTCGATGTGATGCGTGTCAAGGCGCATTTTGGTGACGCGAAAAAGTTTCCCCGAGTAAGTCAACTTCTGAGATCGTTGTCTCCGGGTGCGCCGGTTGACGTGGGCNTGCCCCATGTCGATGTGATGCGCGTCAAGGCGCATTTTGGAGAAGTGAAAAATGNCACCATGTGGCGCATGTGGGTTCAAACTTGCTTCGACGGTGTGGGGGACGCGTGGCAAGGTTCGTCGCCGCTGTTGGCCAGAAGTTCTTTCTGCCCCATGTCGATGTGATGCGTGTCAAGGCGCATTTTGGTGACGCGAAAAAGTTTCCCCGAGTAAGTCAACTTCTGAGATCGTTGTCTCCGGGTGCGCCGGTTGACGTGGGCTTAGGTGGGAACCTGGACGCTGAAGTGGCGTACGGCAACCATCCTAGCGCGTTACTGCACAGAGATCGGATCACAGACAAAGTTGTATCGGACGTGATATTGGGGCATGCGTTGGTTTTCGATGTTCGGTTCATCCGAGAAATCTTAGGTGTTAAGAGTGTCGTCGTTGGGCGTCATCGACGAACCGAAGTTCAGAATTATTCACGATCTCTCTTTCACCTCTGGCGTGCCGTATGAGCGTAAATCACGATACGGACTTTGATCAAGCGCCTGAATGCCTCTTGGGTCATGTGTTGAGTGACATTCTGTAGCGGGTGCTGTATTTGCGACAAGTACACGGGATGTCGTTGGAAATTCTGATCTGCCGCANTGTGGGCGACGGGGCGTTTGCTGGTTCTCCGTTTTCCGTGCGATACTACGTTGATGATGGCGTGTTGATTGAAGGGAGATTTTTCGCTGATGGTGGCCGATGCTTGCGCGCGGTGCATTCTCTCGCTACGGATCACTTTCGTCTGCTGGTAGAGAGAGGCCCAGCAGACCCGCCGTTGTTGTCGCAAGGAAAGATCACCGATTTCGCTACCCGTCTGGATGTGTTGGGTTGGACATTGGACACTCAGCAACTCACGATTACTATGATCGACACGAAACAGCAGAAACTGGGACGCATTTTAGCTGTNCGTTTTTCGTGCGATACTACGTTGATGATGGCGTGTTGATTGAAGGGAGAATTTCCGCTGATGGTCGCCGATGTTTACGCACGGTGCATTCTCTCGCTACGGATCACTTTCGTCTGCTGGGAGAGAGAGGCCCAGCAGACCCGCCGTTGTTGTCGCAAGGAAAGATCACAGATTTCGCTACTCGTTTGGATGTGTTGGGTTGGACATTGGACACTCAGCAGCTCACGATTACTATGACCGACACGAAACAACAGAAACTGGGACGCATCTTGGCTGCGTGGCCCGCGACGCGGAGAGTCGCTACAGCTTGTCAAGTAGCTGAGTTGACAGGGTTTCTCATGCACGTTTCGTTCGTGTTGCGGCCAGGAAAGTTTTTTGTGGGGCGCCTTTTATCCGCGGTAGGGATGCCTGCTTTGTCTACTTTCGCGTCCCAAGTGCCGAGCCCGAACAGACGTGTAGTGCTAGGTCCATTATTCCACGATGGTCTCGAATTTTGGCGCTGGTTCCACGGGCGTGGTCTCTCGTTGCGCGGCGAAGTTTGTGTGCACCGATGTACAACATTTTGGAACGCCTGCCTGCACTATCCGTGTTCACCGATGCATCTAAGCAAGCAATTGGAGGGTATTGCTTGCAAACGGGCCACTACTTTCGATATGATCTGTCTGTGGAAGAGCAAGCTTGCTTTGTGGGGTCGAGCAAATCGGTCCACGGGGTTACTGATGTCAGCATCAACGTGTTAGAGCTCCTGGGCATGGTCATGGGGGCGTGGGTGGTGGTATTGGGTCGAAGTCAC